CAGCAGAAAACGTGTACTCGAGTATAGCACTCGAATAAAGACATAACATCCCGCCACTCCAACTGCTTCATCAACGCCATTTCAAATTTAAATTTCTTGCTAATAAAGTGCGCATCCACCGTCCACACACACCCACACCCCCCAATCCATTTCCACAATGCCCCCGAATGACGTGTTCCAGCCCGAAAACAGGGTCAGGGTTCAAATACCAGAGATATGTGCGGTATGGTACAGCATACACTTGTACGAGTACAGTGTTCCAGTTACCCCAAGTGTGGCTAGCGGGCTTACTTCGTGCGCGGATCAATGACGGTCTTGATGCCATAATCTTGAACAAGCTTCCTGCGATCATCGGCAGTCACGTTGTCCGCACGGAGGATGAAAAAAGTCTCACGTAAGGGGAAACTGCAAACGCGAGAGGAAGGCAAGATGAGTGCTAACCCAATCCTCCGGAACGATATAGCGTGGGCATGATGAAATGGGGCTTTTTCTCTTTTGCGAATTTGCCCACAACGTTAGGGGATGAATGGATTACTGATTGGGGGGGTCGGAGGTGATTTTGCGGACGTACTCGAGTACAAGATGGATGGATGGATAGGTAGTACTCATACAGTAGAGTGGGCGGGACAACCTTTGCGAACAGCTCGCATTCACGATCGCGCATACCCGAGTACAGCGCGAAAGTTGTAAATTGAAGCGAGCGGATACTCGAGCTCGGCGGCGGTAACGTCTATCATATCATAGGGAGGTGTGTGGAAAGCGAGCACTTCTCTACAGTGTTGCTGTCTGTTGTAGAAGCAAGTGTTGCTTCTCGCGAGTCTGTTTCCTTTTCCCTCTCTCTCTGGACTTCCTTTTTTTTCTTGTGGCGATGGTTGGGGGGTCGGGGTCAGCCTTTTTTTTTTTTTTTCCTCTCCTTCCCCATTCCAGTTTGATACCAGTTTGATACCGGAGGTCACACAGATCATCCCCTTCAGCAAGGAACCCGCTTCAAATAAATCGTTCAATCAATCAAATCAAATCAATTTTCCCTTTTGCAATTTGCCCCTCAGGATGCTTCGAGTATGATGCCAGTCAGTAGCTACTTGTACGAATGCTCTTGGGGCCGAGGGCTTTGTCATCCACCGTCCCTAAAGTGTTCGCTGTTGGTACAGTACACTACTGAGTAGAGTACACGAGTGCAGCTGTACCGGTACTGTACCCCAGAAAACCACACGAGTACAGTAGGAGCAGAATCTAGTCTGCGCTACTTTCGTGAGCCCCGCCCACAATCGCCGTTATATTAATTGCGACACTCATACTGTACTAGTACGGCTGAAATTATTACTGGTAATACGGTTCTCCTGGTGCCGTAGTCCACCGATGGTTGCGCTGGATAGGACAGTGACCGGACAAGGCAAGAATTAATTTTGCCTTGCAACACAGAACAAGCATACGGGTAAAGATCGCCCCGTCACGAACTGCTGGCCTCGGCGATCGTTACTCCCGCCACGCACTCATGCACAGGCAGTGCTGCTGTGGTACTCGATAGCATATTCTCGAGTACCAGTACGAGTACGAGAACAGCGAAATCCTGTTAGTACAGTACCCCGCACAGGAAACGGGCACCATGTCAGTAACCCATTTATGCGGCGAAGCAGAGATGCTCAATCGTAGGGAAGGGAAGCTATTAACAGGAGAAAAGATTGGGGAAAGTTACCGGTACTTTGCGCTTCTCAGCCCTTCTCTTCCCTTCTCACCCAACTCGAGTACCATACCGGTAGTGTATTCCCACCCCCACATGTAAGTGTTCTCGAATACAGTACTCGTACCGGTACACATATCGCTACCATCAAATGTAAAGGTTCCACCCCCAAAAAGGCGGATGGCATGGAAAAAGAAATAAGCTGTGTGGGTATGGCATGCCCTCAACGCCACCTCCACAGTAAACCTGGCCCGTTGGTGTTACCGTTTTTTGCCCAATGTTCCTATTTTGGAAGTTGGACCGGTTTCTGTCCGATGCTGGTATGAGTACAGTACTCGAGTAGCGAGCTAACCAACCAACGAGGTGAAGATGGCAATAGGTACAGCACTAGTACTGGTACAGTACTCGAGTACATATGTATGCACCAGTGAAATGTTGCAGTTTGCTCACCTCTATGAAGGAAGAGACGGAAAGCCAAGTCTGGAATGCAAAACCAGGCTTTTAGCGTCCAGTGAAATGTTGGTCGGGTTGAGGACAGTTTGGTTGTTGGATCGAACGTGATCGGCCAAAGACCAAAGAAAAATCAAGCGAAATTACTCCACAAAGTAAGCTTAGTCAGTATGCATGGATGTACCTTGTAACCTGAGTCTTCTCCATCTCTCTCCTTTACCTGGTATTTCTCGTCACCGGTTCATTGAATACCGTACCGGTACCGTACTCGTAGAGAGGCACGTCTCCTAGTGCTCTCTCTGGTTTCTAACCAAATCTCTAAAAATACTCCCCTATTAGTTCGGATGGCAAAGGTGGAGGGGAAAAGCAAAAGTGCAAATATCTCAAGTGAAGAAACAAAATTGACGGCGGCACATGGCAGCCACGAAATTCCAACTGAGACATAGTGGGCGGCTATTTAAGGGTATGATTCTCTCGGCGAGACCAAGCAGTGAGACGGGGGATGCAACCACACAACCACAAGACGGTACGGAGGTCTGCATTTTTATGCCCCTCCATTTTTTTGGGAGCATGAGATCTGGTGGTAGGGTCTTTCATTTTGGCTGCGACTTGGATGCATTTTAGAGGTGGGATTTTTCGCGATGGTGCGCTTGGTTGTATTTCACAACTCAATCTCACCGCGAGTGCGGGCAGTCACGGAGTGAAAAGTGAGCGGAGAGGGGAATGAAAACAAAGGGCTGAATGCTGCCGAAAAAAGAAATGTGGTGGGAAAAAAGTAAAGGAGAGACATAATATCTACTGATGCATACTGGACACAGGGGGCAATCTTTGTGAGGGAAGGGGAATGCGCTCATTGGCCGTTAGTGGCTGGGGGGAAAATGGGAATAAGGATGCTACTCGAGCAGAGGCTCAGGTACAGTACCCCTACTGGACACCTAATTCTCGGCCAATGAGCTTTGTCGAAGCCAGTCCGGGTACTAGTACAAGAGATCACATCACATCATAGCACATATTTGCGCGCACAAATGGGTATCGGTATCGGCTGTCTAACTTTCCTGTACGAGTACTGGTACATTGTGGTAAGGATTTCTCTCTTTACAAGTACCATTTCCCGGATTGCATCGGACCTCACCTCCCCAGCGGTCAGGTGAGCACGAGGATTTCGCGACCTCACCGTTAGTCATCTTCACCTGTGCTTGTTCTCAACAATACCAGTGCCTCCGTCATTCACGACTCTGTGCGTAGGAGGGAGCCCCAGTCGTACCTTGTCGCTGATGGACAGCTGGATAGATAGTGCCGCAGGAAGGGCGCCGTGCTCTGCGGTAAGAGGGGTGGGGCCAACCTTGGTTGTGAATTGTGCAGTCCCGGCACTACCGGTGTGCGGTGCCCGATCGGTGAGAAGGAGAATTCGTCACCCCTGTTCACAATTGCAATTTATTCCCACTCGCAAGCCACAACTCAAATCAGCAATTTTTATCTACTGTATACAAGTACTGTGGCTTCCAAGACGAAACTGGAGGTTTGGTTTTGATTACCGTAGTGGGTCGCTCATACTTGTAGTGTGAGCAAGGGTGACAAACTCACCCTTCCACTTTCTCATACTCGAGTTCTTGTACTTGTACGCGTATGGTACCTTAACGATATTTAGTGACCAGGCAGGCGAGTATAGTGATTGTGCGATCGCAGCTGGGTTTGTTCTTACTAGTGAATGGCGCGATTCTGTTTTTGCTTGTGCGCAGAGGAAATCTCAGCTCATATCACAAGTTACTCGGGTACCCTAGATACAACTACAAGTATTTGAGTACCGATACCGTAAATACTAAAAGACTTAGGGGCACGGTGGTGCTGCAGTCGATCGGGGCTTGTCAAATACTTGTACCTGTCTCATCTGAAATCTGCCTTGGTTCTTAAGAGTGAGTTTGCACTTAGCACTTGTGAGAACGGATGGACATCTTGGAGAGGATCTACTCGTATTGATTTCTCTGCACATGGGATGGGCCACGGCGCTTAAAATATCTCTTGCAGATAAGCTTATTGCGATGCTAGAAGCCAAGAAACTACTGGTACCGGTTTGGTTGTAACTGTGGGTATGAAAATGTGGAGAAGAGAGGAACTCCGCCTCCCACCAACTGATCGCGCACATTTTTCTCAACTTAGCTTCAAATATTGCCGGGCGAGCACACCGTACCGTACTCGAGACTCTAGGGTACTCAGTTGTGAACTTCTCGACACCGGGCCGGAAGCGATGCGTTACCGAGGGAAGAGGGGACACAGTAACTCAAATCGCCTCCCACTCTGTACGAGTACTTTAGTAAGACGATCCGGTCTCAAATGGGGGTGGAATTGCTTGTGCGAATCTTAATTGGCCTATCGCTTTTTGTACTTTTCTTCTTCTTTCCCTTCTAAACAGCCTTTGTTTTTTAGAAGAAATGATAAGGGCGCTTGAAACTCCTCTAGGAATGGGGGTACCGGTTCTACTGTAAAGTATCTTTACTTTTTTGGGAAGATGATCCTGGGCTACCGTTGTTAGTTGTTGGAAAACCTATCCACTCACCGCATTCTGCTAACCTTGCACGCAGGGGTAATTCGCTTCCCATCCAAGCTTCTCGCTTGGACTACTCACAAGAAGAGGACGGGATGCATTCATCTCCCCCCCCCCATGCACGCGGGGGTTTGGATATCAAAAGATTTCTGGTGGGGGGCGAAGGTTGATTGGGTGTCACTGCAGCACCACTGCATCCTTCCCCCCCGCCGTAACTTGTACCACAACATCCTACCGTAGCACTACCGACCCTTTGTTCTCCCTAATCAAAGTGATAAGAACTCCGGCTATCCCATCAGCCCTCTCTTCTGCTATCCGTGCGAATGTGTGTATGTTAAGGAAAACGAAAGGAAACGCTCTGAGGAGCCTGGGCTATATTACGACATTTTTTCCCTTTTCCCAACAACCTGCCCGGCACGGCTTTATTAAGAGGGGGGAATAGTTCAGCCCTTTTCCTTCCAGCAAATATTCATCATGGTTGCCCCGACTATCGTGAAGGATGTGCTGAACCCGGCACTTTACAACAACGACGACATCGAGGTTCAGTTTTACCAGCAACGGAAGGAATGGCCGTGGACGAGGGGTGCTGTGCATGCATTGGGTTGGGTATTTTTCGCCGGCGGGCTGGTCCTGATATTTGGGTTACTCAACCTTCGCGATATTCTGCTGGATAGGCGACGACTGGGATACACTCTAGCAAATAATAACAAGAATAAGGTATTATCCAGTCAGCGATCGCTATTCGACCGAATGTCGCTACATTTCCGCGCCTTTTGTTACCTGCGTAGTTCAGTGACTGGCTTCGCAACAGCGTCACTCGGCCTGGGTTCCCTCGTCCTAGCCGGGTTCATGTACCCTCTTCTATATATCTTTTCTCAGCATCCCTATTACGAGCGGGAGCCGAGATTTGGGCCTCCTCCGCTTGGAGGCAGAAGCGGGATGATTGCCCTTGCCATGACCCCGTTTATCATCCTGCTCGGGATGAAGGCAAATTTGATCAGTATGGTGACGGGCATGGGACATGAGAAGTTGAATGTTTTGCATCGGTGGTTGGGATTCGTCTGTGGTTTCTTCAGTCTGGTCCACTCGGCACCGTACATTATTGAGCCGTTGAAGAATGGCGGATGGAGCAAGTTGGCCGAGGTTTTCAATGGCCATGTGACATATTGGAATGGAGTCGGAGCACTTGTATGCATGTTTTGGTTGACTTTTGGTTCTCTTAATTTTATAAGGTATGCTTCCTTCTTTCAACCCTCCCTATCTACTCGATGCTAATTTAGACACAGGGCGTGGTGTTATGAGGTTTTCGTTCATTTGCATATTATTCTGGGAGTGGGATACGTAGGGTTGATGTTCTGGCATTGCGCTAACGTGTTGACTTCGGTACTCATCACTCCCCATTGCTCAGGGACTAAATCGCACTAACACGCTATTACAGTGGCATTACCTCTATGCCACATGTATTATCTGGGTCTCGCACCTTGCATACAGGTTCATTTGGAGGACCAACTGGTTTGGCCCTCGCCCATTCTCTGGCGACCAAGCACACTTCACACCCCTTACGGACGACGGTGTAAAAATCACTGTGCCAACCCGCATGCGATGGCAAGCTGGGCAACATATCTTTATCCGAATCCCCAATATCTCGCTACTTGATAATCATCCGTTTACCGTGGCCTCTATCATGTCTAATGACACCAAGGATGGCGAATATAATGATCTAGTCCTTGTATTCAAGCCACACAAGGGCTTCACTAGACGTGTATTTGACATCTCCAGGACTCACCCTGACGTCTCCTATAGGGCGTATCTGGACGGACCGTATGGTGGATTGTCACGTAAGCTGGAAGCATTTGAAACGGTGCTCATGGTAGCTGGTGGCTCAGGAATCACCCCAATCGTAGCACATCTTCAACATCTAGCATCAAAGATCCAGAAGGGTGAGGCTCTAACAAGGGATATCAGAATAATCTGGACGGTCAAGCGCTTTGGTAAGTGTCACCTTGTACGAAGCTTCAGACGAACACGTTACTAATACAATCTAGAATCCCTCGAATGGTTCAAAGACGAAATCTCCGCTGCCGCCAGAAGTCTTCCAAGAAACATGTTACTCTGCCAATACTATGTAACTGAGGAAACAGCCGTTGAACTTCCCAAGGGCCCCGTGTCCGCAACCCGTGAATGGCCACAAAGTCCCTTAACCCCGACCTTCCGTCAACCCCCACCGGCACTCCTTCGCTCACCCGGAACTTCCGAGGCAGAGAGAGAATTCCGGCTCCAGATACTGGAGAAGGATGTTGGCTCTTCTTCCTCGGACGAAGAATTACATGAGTTTCCATTCCCCGCCGCTCAGCCGGTTACTCCGGTTCCGCCTATGGGAGATGAGGTGCTGTTGGAGTTTGGAAGGCCACCGTTGAGGGATGGATTACCACCTTGGTCGGAGACGTTCGGAAGGAGGACTTGCATTTATGGTATGCCCCTCGACTCTTCCGCATCTGAAGAATCGTAATTAACGAAAGTAGTGTGTGGCCCGCAATCTATGAAGGTTGATGTTGCAAATGCGGTTGCAGACATGCAATCTGATATCTGGGCTTGTGAACAGCGGGAAGAGATTTACTTGCATTCTGAGACCTTCGGGTGGTAAACCTCTTCGCGGACTTCTACCGGTAGTCTTCTCCGCTTAGCTGAGCTGAAATCACCCACTCCTTACGCATCAACCTCACTCAACATCTCCCTGTCAGGAAATCCTCACGCCCAACAACACACACGTATCGGTCTTTCCTTATCTTTGATTTTTATTGAATCTTTCATCCGCTCCCTTTAACTTCGCTTGCCCCTTCTATCGGTCAGAAGCGGAGGAAGGCAAGCAAGTTGTGTTTTTTTTTTGCAATTTGCAATTTGCAGGATATGGATACACGGTCCTTACTTTGTTAACTTTAATAAACGGATGGGCGTTACTTCTTGTGTCATACAAAAGAGTAGCCACCCGTCTTGCATATTCTCTAGATGTACTTTTTATTTCCCCCCCTATTGTCCTCTTACTGTTTTATATGGGTCTTGGAGCATGGTATAGTGAATCCGGTTGGTGTGGGGCATGTTTTTTTTGTTCATTTTTACCCGATCGTGGGTTGGCGCGAGTGTATATATGGAGCACGGTACCCTGTGAATATGTAGTCCCTTCATCACTTTTGAATAAAGTTTGTAACTATCTAGATCCCAATCTGATTCCTCATCTCCCCTCCTGAGAAAAGTATCAAAAAAATAAGGAGAATCTAAGTCATTCGAGCCTTCTATCTCCTCGTACTACCGTACCCAAAAGAGGGGCAAGCTTACCTTTAGGAGAGGGAAAACGGGGTACACAAATGTTGGCAGGCTGGCTAGTTGGTTGTTGGTCCATTCAAATCCGTACCGATATGTAAAAAAAAAAAAAAAAGGGAAGCAGGGATCATTGGGCGGAGTCGGGTCTCGGAGTCTCCACAGATCCCTGCCCCATTATGGCAGGAAACATTCATTCCCCTTTCGCATCCGATTTGAAGTCTTTGGGTAATCTTGCGGCACCTGCTCAAGAAAAGGGGATAAGCGGGGTAACGGGGGAGGATGATATAATACAAAATCGCGGTGGCCGTACCAACGAGTCAGTTGATGTGTAGACTGTAATAACTGTCGTGCTCGTTATCCCCAGGACCCTTTTGCCAAGACCAACGACGGTGTACAGTACAAGTATTCCTTGCAGGTTCTACTAAAGGATTTCAAATCGTTAGGGGACCGAGTAGGGTATTGTGGTAACCCGACCTAATGCAAGGAATTCGGACGACAAGAGTTTGACTGTTGGCCTACCGGTGTTGTATTATTCCGAAGGGGTACGAAGGGGCCAACATCTCCCCGAGCTCTTTTTTTTTTTTTTAAACCCCGACTGCACAATACGGTACTCGTACAAGTAGCATCCATAAGGGGGTTTGCAGAACACTTTGCTCCGAGAAATAGGATATTGTGGAGGGAGTCTTGCGGCCAGTGGCTTGCCAAGCGCTAATTACACAGAGCTCTAGAATGGGAAAGGGACTCGCAGCCCTTTTGTCTACGGAGTTTTCTCATAAGGAGGCTTGAGCTTTACTTTGGTGGGGCTAACCGTTTCTGTTTGTTCATCTTTTCCAAAATTCCTATCAAGAGGCTTACTGAGATTTCAACTCGCACAGTAAGAATATTTCTACACCCACCATCCACCCTAGTAGGGTCCTTGCTATCCCTACTAGTAACGTAATTTTTACGGTGGGGCAATATCTCGCTGTGCTCGAGTAGTTGCTGTAGGAGGTGAGGTATCATATTGCAGGTTGATTGGTTCGCGCAGGGAGGAGGGAGGGGGGGAACTGTGTTTTGCGGTTTTTTGATGGGTTGGAGGGAGGTGGGAGATTTTATGATTTTACCGTTGCTATTAGTTTGATTAGAAGGCATTCTATCGGCTTGAGTTGGGATAAAGTGGTCAGACGAGTTCGCCGCGCCAAATTTCTGGGCTCTTTGGTGGCCAACCGGTTTCGCACTCTGCGTGGGATTCTTGACTCTGGGGCTGGGGCCGTATGCGACGCTCGTACATGTACGAGTAACTATCGTACTGCAGTAACATAACGGTGTCCACAGCTGTACGAGTACAGTTACGAAGCACGAGTACGCGAAAACCTCTTGGGATGCATTCAGATAGTGGTGTTCACCAAACCTCACATCCACCTCGGCATGCGCAATCCTCCCAAAAGGATATCAATACAGCTCCTAGATAATAAACCCAGCGCGGATCGGAGCCCCACTCTCTTTCAGCATCAAATCCCCGCCACCCAGCGGATTATCAAGGCGCATCTATGACACTCCCTGATACTCGAGTACAGCTGGTGAACAGTTAATTTAGGTTGACCTGGAAAATAATCCCGTCTGGTTCTCTTGCGCGAAACATCTCCCTGACATCCGTACGACCTCTTGACCTTTTCCACAGCGACAGCATCGCAAGGGATGTCTCAATCCATACCATCAATGCCAATAAGGATCATCAATCTCGTGATTATGGCATAATGCCCTATCCCGCGGTCTCCACACAGACTGGACATCACGCCAAGGCATTGTACTCCCCGAGCAGAGGAAGTCCCACCACACCCCGTGATTGTGCTCGGATGAAATGGCCAATAGAATCATTGTACCACAGTTCTGCCCCTCACGCCTAAAACAGCTAGCAATTAGCCTAGACTTATACGGGGAACTCGTTTCCAAACCATTGTCATCGTTTCGGCATGTTTTGTCGGTACTGGTACAGCTACTTGTAGGTACTCGTACTTGTATCTTGGGGTGGCCCCGGGACGTTCGTTTGTCCTTTAAGTTTCCTAGGCGGGAGTTCCTGCGGTGGTTACACTGAAGTCCGCCCATCCATTCCAACTGTGAACCAGAAGCCAACAGCTGTCGCCTCGACGTATCAGCGAAGGATTGAAAGTGCAAGGCAATATTTACAGTACTAGTACAGAAGGGCGGGGCTCTCCGCATTTGTCCGTCTGTCTGTCGGTCTGTTGGTCTGTCAGCGGTCGGTCGGGATGTGGCGTACTGTGCCACAATAGTATTACTCGAGTATAGCACTACACTTCGGTATGATACAATCCAGTCCACCCCTAGAGTTACTCGCTAGCGCAGCCTCAACAGTTAAGTTCTCATAACCTTCCTTATACCTCAAGAGTTGTACCCGTTAACAAAAGAGTAGAAAGAGCCTTTGGATAAATGTTTTCAGATATGCCTCTAGGGATATTGTGGACTTCTATCACAATTCAAGACTCCCGAACATTTCAATGTGGAGGATTTTATGATATAGCCGCTAGCACCATTCCTGCCTCGATGCCTTGAAGAAAGGGCTCGGAAAACACCGGTGGGCTGTTAGGCGCGGGGCAATCTGTGCTTCTAATTCCAACTCGCTTATACCGTGCCGTGTTCTTGCGCGCCGCGAGGTGGGTGCGGGGCACGGTTAAGGGAAGTGTTCCTTTGCTTCCGGGACTTCCGGATTGATCGCTGGCGTGGGGATTTATGGCGAGTGAGACATGGGGCGTGCCGCGCTTGAAGAGACGAGTGAGAGGTTGTGACTTACCGGCCAAATCAGGGGGATAATGGTGTGGTGTGATGAGGTTTGTGTGGAAGGATTTGGCGCAGGCGCCGCATCGGCTACTTTTGTGGGACAACATCGAAATTGTCGGTGCTTGTCGGCTTGGAATTAGGATATCTATGGCTTGAGTTCGTATCACGCCGGTAGTGGGATTCTGCAAATTAGAGGGTACTAGGCGCCTGGAGCCTCTGTTGCTGTGTGTGCTTTGTTTTGCGGCAAATGTTTTTTGGGTTTGCGGCTGCGTTGGCAAGGAAGATTTAGGGGCGTTACTCTAAGTTTATGGAGGATTGCACCTAGTGCACCTAGTGAATTATAGCATTGCGTGTACAAGTACGCCCCCCAGAAAACCACCATGAAGCAAACCGGGCGGGGGCAGGAGCTCCCAGAAAATAGTACTGTGCCTACAGAGACTCGAGATATCATACCTGAGGTATCATAAATTTAAGGTCAGGACCTGTGATACAGTGTTAGCTTAAGCTGTTGAAAAGACCGCAGTGTCCAAGCTCTGTCGGCCACCACTGCTGAGGTGAAGCGGGATTTGGGCCTGGTGGAGTAATATGTCTTTCTGCTCCCGGGGCGCTGGAGATCACAAGACTCTCACCTTTACAGAGAAAACCCATAAAAAATAGGCGAGATACGCTTGAGGGGGGGAGGGGGGGTAATAAAATAGTCCATGCTTCTGATTCTGCAACGAATGCCGGTAGTTTTGGATTACACGCTGGCCCGTGATGGAGCGGTTACCCGGTTTCGCGCCCCCGCCGGTGCCGCTTGATAAGCCATGCAACGGATTTTGGGGCGCCTCGATGATTGCGGTTTGTTCTGTGGTGTCGTTCTGAGAGTTTGTCTTTCCATCGGTTCGTTCATGTCTTTTTTTATTTTATCTTATCATAACTTAGGTTCGTGAGCTTTAATTTTTTATTTGATATATCACATGGTTGGGGGTAGGGGTAGGCTGTATGCGTCTGCCGTTGCTACAAGCGGAGGATATTGCAATATCTCCTTTGGAAGCTAGTTTGTCTCTTGGACGGTACCTTTTGTTTTCTTGGCTCATAGGAGTTCGAAACTGAGAAATGGGCAGTAGGATGTTAGGTTGGAAAGGAAATTTTGGTATTGGATAACGTCCAAGATATAATTACGAAAGAAAAGGCCATCTATGTTTTGAGCAACAATGAAAATAATGAACTAGCGGAATTTTGCGCTTGGAGAGTACTGTACATCAACTATTGTTGTTTCACTATCGGTCGCCTATATTGCTGACAACATGTCATACCCAACGAGCTGTGGAGTCCTAGGAAATAAGTCAGTTGAAGAGGAATGAGGTGAATCTGCTAGCCGAATAGGGTGGTATTTCAAATGGAAGGTTGTGACTTCGCTTCTGCTAGTCGGTTCATGGAGAGCGGGCCATTTACTGTTTTCCCGGGCGGTTGTTGATGGATCAACTGGAATTTTTTCAGAGGTTCCGAGGTCATGTGATGTGGGGTAATGATTAGGGGACCAGAATCTTAATTCGCTAATGATATTGGGGTTTTATCAAAAATCGGTACGTCATAGCAACGGTATGGGTAGAGCTGAAATCCCCGATAGATATCTATGCTTTTTATGGGAAGGCCTCTGGAAATTCTAAAGTTTTACCTCTTTGACACTTGGTGTTATGTCTATGGTTAAGATCGCCGGAGGAAAAATAACGTGAGTATAAGACATTGAATATTGATGAGATCAGTGCGGATATATTCCTATCCCTTTACAAAAAACTATCGCCGTGTGGGGATTTGAAGTATACCTGCCACGGAACTGGAATCTTTATCCTACCCTTGAAGGGGTCATTATCACGACCATCCTCCTCCTGAATTGTCATTGGTAAACTTCCTTTTCAGTCAAATGTTAACGGCCGGCATCGCTTTTGCTTAATCCTTCCCTGTTCTGTCCTCTTTTTCTTTCTATTGCCTACTGGAGCATACTGAACTGCCCAACACATCTTCTTAGTTCCCCACATTATCGCCTTATTACCCACAAGAAATTGATACATGAATTCCTCCCCCCTCCTCACCCACACACTTGCCTAAT